TTTAAAAACAATTATATAGCTATATGAAATTTTATTCTAACTGTATTTTAAAATTAATATATATATATTTATATCAAAATACACTTAGAATGAATTTGTATATATATCTATGTATATAAAAATAAATAAAAATAATAAGAAATATACATACGTCCATATACAAAATTACATAAATAATTATATAAATATACACGTAGACTTCAAATATATAAATATGCATATATATTTAAATTCTATGTGCGTATTTATGTAATATTTTTACATAATTCAGTAATTTTATTGATTGCAATTTGAGGGACCTGCCTGCCAACCCAGGCCGAAATTCCAGAGAATTTAATTTGCTAGCACTGTATTTTACCCTGTAACGTTCTATGACACCCTAAAACCTGTACATTGGGGGTACTGTTTTACTCGGGAGACTTCGCTGAACACAAATATTAGTGATTCAAAACAGTAAAACATATCACAGTGATGATATTGTCAGTGAAAGTTACTTTTTTTGCATTTTTCACACACAAACAGCACTTTTACTGATGATATAATTGTGATACGTTTTCCAGTTTTTAAACACTAATATTTGTGTTCAGCGATGTCTCCCGAGTAAAACAGTACCCCCCATGTACAGGTTTTATAGCATTTTTGAAAGTTACAAGGTCAAATATATGGGTCAAATATTTTACATTGAAAATGGCCAGGTTGGTCACGTTGCCTTTGAGAGCGTATGGTAGCCCAGGAATGAGAATTACCCCCATGATGGCATACCATTTGCAAAAGAAGACAACCCAAGGTATTGCAAATTGGGTATGTCCAGTCTTTTTTAGTAACCACTTTTTTCACACACAAACAAATATGAATGCTTACTTTGGCCAGTGTTTTCGACTAAGTGGCTACTAAAAAAGACTGGACATACCCCATATTGAATACCCTGGATTGTCTACTTTAAAAAAAATATGTACATGTGGGGTGTTATTCAGAGATTTATGACAGATAATAGTGTTACAATGTCACTATTGATAAATTTTAAAAATGTATGTTTTGAAACCGCAATATCCTACTTGTACCTATAGCCCTATAACATGCAAAAAAAGCAAAAAAGCACATAAACACTAGGTATTTTTAAACTCAGGACAAAATTTTGAATCTATTTAGCAGTTTTTTTTCATTCGCTTTTGTAGATGAGTAAAAGATTTTTCAAGTAAAAGTCAAAAAACATGTATTTTTTTCAATTTTTCATCAGATTTTTGTATTTTTTTTAAATTAAAATACATGAGATTATATAAATAATGGTATGTAAAGAAAGCCCCTTTTGTCCTGAAAAAAACAATATATAATTTGTATGGGAACAGTAAATGAGAAAGCGGAAAATTACAGCCAAACACAAACACCACAAAAGTGTAAAAATATGCCTGGTCGCAAATGTACAACATCGCAAAAACAGTCCAGTCCTTAAGGGGTTAATCAAATTATCTGGAGGCAGAAAATACATTGTGCAAATGCCGGCAGGTGTGTTTTATAGTGATTGAAACCCAATATAAATAATATTAAATGTTTAAAATTATACAATAGCTGTCAATTTTTATAAACTAGAGGTACACAGTGCACACAAAAATTAACCTAACTCCAATAATATATATATTTTCAGCACTGCTGGACCAGTGTGCAGTGGGATGCATGCTGTGTCAACATATACTTAATTAAAAAAAAGATTTAATAAAAGTTCCACAAGTAATGTTCGAGTTGCAAGATCAACAGATAATTTAGGAGTATTTTGTGACTTTAATTTGGCTAATGCACGCATGCAGTGTGCGTCTTTCACAGGCCCCCCTTAATCAAATCCCAATCAGGAAATTTATGTTATAAAGATACACAAAGCAAATTTGCTTCCATATTTGTCTGTTCACATTTCCTGTCTCTGATGTTGTGAACAATGCACAACGTCATCTGTTTGACTCTGAAAAATGTAAAAAGGGCAAAATCCGCAGCCCTCTCGTGCTTTCAATAAACCTGCTACATTTGAATTGAGGGCCTGATCTGACTCCTTGTGGTTTTTCTCAAGTGTAGTTTTCCACTTCTTAAAATTGAGTAAGCTACGTACATAATTTCATGGCCAAACCTTCCGGTGCACATAGAAGCTTGTGTATTCTAGCTTACCCCATCAATTTAGTATCATAACAAACTTGAAGGTACATGTGAAAAGAAAAAGGAACAAAAGAGAATATATAGTGTAGATGGTCTTGGGAATAATGATCAGTAGTAAAATTAATAACTAGAACCACTCACATGATGATGTCTTTATAGAATGCCTTATAAACCACTTGCCACTGTATCGTGGCCAATGGCACGTTATCTTTTTTGTGTGTGATTCAATTATTGACTCTACTAGGTTTTAGCGTTGTCTTCTCTGTTTCCATTCCTTGTTATTAGATTATAACAAACCTTTTGTTTTCATGCTGGTGTTTAAAGGAATTTATTTATTTTCTTTTTTTTTTTTTTTTCAAAAATGTTTTACTGTACATTTTACACTGTTTGCATCTTTCTTTCTGTTCCTGTTTATTGTAAAAATATGAACTCTTTTCAAAGCCAAAGGTCTAACTATATGGAAATGGTCTGTCTTTTTAGAAGAATAGACACAAGCTGTGTTTGGCCTTGGGTTGTGTAAACAGCTCTAAGTGATGTATCATTTGTGTTTATGAAACTGCAAAAGAGTTTTTCCACTTACACTTATATTCTTTGTTTTAGGGACAAGGTCAATTTATCTGGCCATAAAAAGAGAGTAAAAGCAAGTTCCGGAATTTAGCACATTACAATGGAAATTAGGATCTGACTCCTTATTTACAAAGTTAATATAGAGTCATTTTAACATCCAGCAGGAGACAGGCTTCCATATATTGTCAGACGTTTGTGCTTCTACTGAATCCAGCTGGTTATTTTCAGAACAAAAAAGAAACTGTAGTTTATTTGGTGCAGGAAGCACACAGGGTCATCTTTGACACTGGACAAAAGGGGTTGCTGTCCTAAGCCCCATAATTTGTAGAGGCAGAGGAGAAAGAAAATAAAGAAGACATACTCTCAAAATGTCTTAGCTGTGTGCAAACTCATACATTAGAACATAAGATCTAATGTTGATGAGTCCTCACGCTGGTGGAATAAACTCCTTTTTTTTGTTCAAATTGCTGATCCTAAAACTCTATCATTCGTGCTGCTCCATAATCTTAAGGGGACTTATGGCAGTTGCCCCTTTTCCTTCCATACATTTTTTTTGTAGGTAGGGTATGTACCTAGAGTGCACATATCTGGAGCTGGATTACCCATTAGGTGGAATAGGCACTGGCTGTGAGATAGTCTTCCTTGAACTGGCAGGCAGATCATTAGAGTTTCCCGCTTGGCCCTCTGCCCCCTCACCTGATAAAGAGCTTTATGGGCTGATCACTTTAAGAGTTCCCTCACAGTCCCCTGGCACTCATCAATGACTCAGAGCACCACAGTCATTGACTGAGTGCTGGACCACAAATTCAGACACAACACACAGTCACACTCACACCTGTACTCTGACTGAGTACCTCTGCCAGGTCAGCTTCCATGCTGCTACCAGGGACTCTGGAGCACTTCAGACTCAGTCACCAAAGCTTGACTGGGGTCTCTGAGGACCTCATCAACCGGACCAGGCTGCAGTGATTATAGCTCAGGACACCGTCTCTCCTGTAAAGCAGAGACTATAGCTTTCCCCCCACACATTAGATGAATCTGAATGTATGGGGTAGAATGATCTTTATTGCACAGCACACAGCTATTTACACACAGCAATGGTGACTGTGCCTGTGGACTTAATGACATTACCCTTAGCTAACACAATCAGCTACCTGTTATGTCCTCACATTCCTTGAGGTACTGCACACAATATGTCTGCCAGAACTCCCTTTCCCTGGACCTTATTTATCAAAGATGTGAGAGGATAAAATAGATACACTATTAAAAATAAGAAAAGAAGAAATGGGAAATAGAGAAAATTAAAAACCACTCAACAGGGAAAAAGGGCCTCACTGAAAATCAGTGAATATGCAGAAATAACTAAGGAGGGACTGCGGGACAGGACCCATAAATCTAGACTGTCCCACCAAAGTCGGGACTATTAGAAGACATGACCTAGTAATGTGTAGGGTGTACAGTGAGATTACATATCCTTCCCAGTAATGTGCAGGCTTTACTGGGATATTACAGAGACCCTGGTAATGTGCAGTTTGTATGGGAAGTGTCAAAGAACCTTTGAGAGAGACTGGTGGAAAGGAAAGTCCAGAATAAGAGAAGGTGAAAGGAGAGACTGGTGAAGAGAAAGATGGTAAAATAGAAGAGTTGAAAAGGGAAGGGAAGGGAAGGAAAGAAAAAGGGAAACTGACTTCAGTAATAGATTGCACATACATATTAATCATAAACATATGTCTGTGCATCAGACACTCATTACATAATCATATGCATACCACATTCATATTAAATAAACAAAGGTGTCTTATACAATATCCACATATCATATTTCACTTATCACAAGCCTTGAAAATATACATACATAGCATACAGTTTGTTTTGGAAATATTTGCACACTGACACAAGTTTTGTTATGCCGACTGTTTACCAAAATAAATTCAACTTACAGTTAAATAATGAAGCTTAATGGGCTTAAAGTGCACCTCTCAGCTTTAATTTGAGGGTATTTACATCCAAATCGGAGGAAGGGTTTCAGAATTACAGCTCTTTAATATGTGGCCTAATCAACACAATATATGGTATAAATTATATACCAATTAGTGGAGCGCTAAATAGACAAAACTTGTGCAGGGGTTAACTTACCCCATCAATTTAGTATCATAACAAACTTGAAGGTACATGTGAAAAGAAAAGGAACAAAAGAGAATATATAGTGTAGATGGTCTTGGGAATAATGATCAATAGTAAAATTAATAACTAGAACCACTCACATGGTATGGATTCTATTTAATATTGGCTCCGTAAAATGAACCTCTTTGCTCTTAGGGCCGCAACACACCATTTGCTCTATGACGTTTCCTCCAAGAGAAAGGAGAGAGAAGCGATCAATGTGTGATACTATACAGATACAGATAAACCACCTAATGGTAAGTATTACACTCACATTTTAAAGAGCATTGAATTCCTGGCTCTGAGTGTAAAAACAATGAAAAAGTCCAATATAAAGTCCAGATCATCCAAAACATGTTTCACTCATCCATGAGCTTCCTCAGTCAGCTGTAGTGTAGCCTCAAGAATCCTCCATCTTTTAAATATCCAGGGCCAGGGGTGTTTGTCGCGAATGCGTCACCTCCTGTACGCGGCTGGCGGAAGTGAAGTCGTGGACTAAGCCATTCGTCACATTTGCCAGCCTTCCATGGATGTCATGCCTCCCGGCGCTCAGACAGCCTCTGGCTGATTGGGGAATACGTGTCGGCCTGAGCTGGAGGGTGGCCCTAATGACTTCACTATGCTTAGTGCGTCAGCCCAAACCCTTTCAGCAACGGCCTATTCCGATTCCGCCATATTGGATGTGGGCAGGGGGGAACAAGCCGCATCTTAAAAGTCCAGATAATGTCTCTTATGGGAGCAGGTTACTCCATTTACAGATTGGGTAGAGAACAATTCACATGTGAAAGGAAGAGGAGGAAAAAGGGAGGGAAAGGGGAAGGAGACAAAAAGTTATATATAATACATATAAAGTGCAAATGAAATATCTAAGATTGCACATAAATAGAGTATAATTAAAGCCAATGCAGTTTACATATTTAAAAAAAACACTTTCAGTACAAGTTAATAAGGGTAGAAAAAACAGAATATATACAAAATAAAGCAATCAAAAGGAATGTAGATAGAACTATAAAATATATAAAAAATATGTACCGGTATATGGGGCTAGCATGAGTAATCATTTTGGGATATATCTATCTTGTTTGATTACATAGAAATTCCTTAAAAATAGAAGCATAAAAAAGGTCTATATTAGAAATGAGAGAAATATTAGAGGAAATGGCATAATTCAAAATAGATATTCAGACCTTGGGGCTGTAAAGTCCCAAGGCTAAATATCCATATCATTTTTTTCTGCTCTAAAATCTTATTAAAATCTCCACCTCTCCAGTTTCCTAAAACTTTGTGAATGCCTAAAAAAAGTCCATTGGGGTTACTGTTATGTTTAATTTTAAAATGGTGTGACACGCTGTGACTTTCACAGCCTTTTTAAATGTTTCTTACTTGTTCATCCACCCTCGTGTGTAAATTACGTTTCATGAGTGCCTCATATTTTAGGCCGCACGGGCACTCCAATAAATACATTACGTTTGTTGAGTGACAGGTAATAAGATTCTTTATGATACATTCTTCGTCTTTCTTTGAATTATTACATTTACTTATGTGTCTTTTTTTGTGCTGTTTGTGCTCCTGCATGCCAAACACATGTCACACCCAAAACTATTCCTTGTGTCAACAGGTTTTATACGACATTAATTTTTGATATGGTTCTTGTAATCAATGTATTTTGTTTCTTCCGTACAGTTCCTTCTAATTTGAAGGAATTGTGATTTCGGGATTGCCTTTAACCAGGGTGCAAAATGGCAGCTTGTGGTGTGTATAAAGCTATTTACATCAACCTTTTCAAAGTGTGTGCTGGTTTTAATTTTATTCCCTTAAATAAAAATATCCAAATCTAAAAAATTGACGTTAATCTTGCTAAAATTTGTAGTTAGAGATATACCCCAATCATGATCATTTAATTTATTAATAAAATTCTTACGCGATTCTTCTGTTCCTTTCCAAATAAAAAATAAGTAATCTATGTAACGGCGATGGGTAACTAGGCCCTCTTCCCAGTAATCTCCATGATGTAAAAATTGGAGCTTGCAATGGGCCATAAATAAGTTGGCATTGCTGGGTACAAACCTCGTTCCCATCGCTGTTCCACAGGCCTGTAAATAAATACCAGAAATAATTACTGGTTAAAATAAGGTAAATCCCTTCTATAATAAGATCAATATGTTCTGGTTTAAAATGATCTGATTGTTCTAAAAAATACCTGGTAGCAGCGCAGCACCTTTCATGTGCAATGATGGTATAGAGGGAGTTTACATCTGCTGTTAATAAAACATAGTTATCTTCCCAAACCAGTTCATTAATATGTCTTAGTATACTACTCATGTCTTTTAGGTAACTCTGTATTTTTTGGACTATTGGTTGCAGGCACCGGTCGATATACACTGATAGTCTGCATGATACTGATCCAATGCCGGAGACTATAGGTCTCCCCGGAGGTTGGGTGGAATTTGTATGTACCATTGGGAGATGATACAGTACTGAGATTTCTGGGAAAACTATTTTTAAATAGTTAAATTTTTTGTTGATCTAGGATTCCATTTTCTTGAAACCCTGGTTAGATAGGTATCACATTTTTCTTTTAAATCATTTGTAGGATCTGCTATTCCTTTTTTGTATGTGTTATTGTCTAATAATCTTTGAGATTATTAAGACAATTATTAAGGTTGGTTATTATGTTGTTGTTTTTTTAAAATATTTCTTTAGGCATAGATTTATCTTAAATCTGTTAAGATCCACGTATGTCTCAAATGTATTCAGATTCTTTGTGGGAGTAAATTTTAGTCCCTCTTGCAATAATTTAATTTGAGGTGTGTTTAAAACATGTGGAGTTAAGTTAAAAATTCCTACTTGTTTTTCTCTCTCTTTACTGTTTATTGGTTTCATCTGTCTCTCTTTTCTTCTCTTGTATTTTGCTTTTGGCTGTTAAAAATTAATCCGATTTTGCTCTTTTTCTGTTTTGATGGGTGTTTTTATGTAATCAGTGCTTCAAAATGTGGAGGTGGAGGAGAGATCAGTACTAGATTGTCCAGGTGGAGGAGAGTTCCATACTAGATTGTCAAAGAAATTTGGAAAAACTCTTGAGTAAAGAAGTAAGAATAAAATGGGAAATAGCCACCCTGGAGAAGTATATCCCAGAGAAAATATTTCCAAGGGGACTAAGGCTTTTCAAACTTCCCTCATTTGACCAAGAGGATAAATCATTCATGGATGAATGGGTAGTGATGCTAGGTTCTTTTTCATTCACTATGATGAAATCTTTGATCACGAGGAGGAAATATAATTTAGAGAAACTCGATGTAAAATTTAACAAGGAACAACATTTTTTATGAAACCACACAAATGCTGATAGGTATAAGATAATTGCGGATAACATGCAACAAGGTTTATGGAAGGTAGGGAAAGACACAATCCAAATAAAAAATAAAAAATACATCAGCGATAAAACGGATTATAGAAAAAATGAAGTACGTACTCATGGGAAAAGAAACAATGTTGAGTATAGGCAGGTCTACAGAAGCAAAGCACGTCCTACACAGAATAAAACTAGACATAATGAAAACCATATCCACTCGCACGTCAGATCAAAAACAGAAGTAGATTCTAGAACAATTAATTCACATAAGGAAGCTGGTTCCAGGATAGGAATCCCAGCACATTTAAACCAGCATTTCGAAGCACTGATAACACAAAAACACCCATCAGAACAGAAAGAAAAAGCAAAATCTGATGAATTCTGCAAACGATGCTCAACGAAGTATTAAAAAAATAACATTTATTTATGATTGTGTTAATTTGTCCAATTACATTTAAACCCCTGAAATAATGGGGACGGTGTATGAAAATGGTTGAATTTCCTGAATGTTTCAGACAATATTTTTGTTCAACCCCTTAAATTAAAGGTGAAAGTCTGCACTTCAATCGCATCTGAGTTGTTTAATTTCAAGTCCTTTGTGGTGGCGTACAGAGGCAAAATTATGAAAATTGTGCCAGTGTCCAAATATTTCTAGATTTAATTGTATATCACACAGAGACACATACAAGTGCATTGACATGTAAGGTGTTTGAAAATGTAGACTAAAATAGCCATGCTGTGATCACAATTGAGTTGGAGAATTTTTCAAATTAGCTACATGAAAGAAAAAGATTTTCTTCCTTGTAATTTGGATTATTTAACAACTAGGAGTATCATTAGTTAACATAATTATGTGTATGCACTTGTGTCGCTATTATACACTTTTTACTGGGTTGTTTAGTTTGGATACACATTAGGTGTTACACATTCAAGGAATGTCACTATGCCATCCATATGTTTCGTCAGAGCTAATACATTTCACTCCGCACTAGCCATTAGTGAGTGAAAATTCCGCCCTGCTGAGTGTGCCTTAGACCTTGCAGGGTTGCAGTGGCAACTGACTTATAGATGCATGTAGTAGCGCAGGACTTGAGATTTTGTCCCTGGGTTATTTAACTTTTAGTTTCTGACGTTGGACATGATCGGATCCCAAACCCAGTGATTGGTGAGTGACTGATAAATTTACACTGTATTATCTATTAATCGGTAAGTTTATTTTGCTCTTACAAACAGACAGATAGATGATAGATGGATAGATAGATAGATAACATTTTAAGACACCACCTAAAATATTTATAAAAAATTTGATACAGTTCTGGGTAAGTCGGGGAAGGTTGTTCTATTCTATTTGGAAAAAAAATGACTCCACATAAAGTTATACACCAAGAGAAACAAAAAAGGGGAAAAAATGTTGACTTGATTTTGTTTTTTTAAGCTGAATGTTGGAAAAATAAATCTGCATTTAATACATTTTCCTTCCAAATACACATCATCAAGCTCAACTAGAAACAGGAAGAATTGTGTTAGAAATGTAACATGTGGATGATGGATGCAAAATAAATGCTTCCACAGTAACTTGACTCATGTAACGGAATAAAGAAATTTTAGGCATTAAACACGAATGGAAAAACTGAGGCAAAAAAAAGGGAATATTTTTTGTTTCCATGGCCAGTACCCGCAGAAGAATATTACGGTAAGTAGGAATACATTTTTCCTTTTCCTGGCCAAATACATGGTAGCAAAATTATGTTTAATAACAAAGCAATAATCAAGGGAGGAAGAAGTAAAAAAACAGACATGAATTGAATACTATAATATGGCCGTAAAGAAAAAAGTGACCCAAATAAACATATATTAAATTTTAGACACCATCAAAACACTTTTACCAAACAGGTCTCATTGAGCAGCTGCTGCCCATGAGACCAAGACATACCTGTTGGTATGGACTTTTAGTCTTCTAGAAGCAGGAACTTTGGCAGATACAATCCATTGGTTAATAGCT